AAAAGCAAACAGGTTCTACGACACATCCTCATGAAGACTTAATGTACTTGGGAACACAGGTGTGATTCAGTTTGTATCGTAGGCAAAATGCTGATGTAACAGGTTCTACCTTTGAATAGTGTGGATGCTGGTATAACATTGTCGGTCATGCTGCTCGGAATAAGTCACTGATGGACTTGAACTAACGGACCTAGTCGTTGGACCTCCGGCTTCTAAATGATGTGTAATTACTATTGTGCTGTTTAATTTTGTGGCGTTTTTCTATGGGTGTCCTAACTCAAATATCTGAATGAGTTCACCCACGAAACACCTAAGATTAACATTTCGTTAAATACATAAATATTTGAACACCACACAAGGCTTTGGGATGCACGGACGGAGTTGACAGAAGTCCACTAAACCACCAGTAATAAGTATTTTAAGTTCAAAATATATTGCGTATTTCTTGGGTTGTTGAAAAATTACTCATAGGAAAGCGTGTCTGAGCTTTGGCCTGTGAATTTAAATTGTGGTCGGTTAGTGGAGTTCATCTTCATGCACACGTGGTTTGTGTTTTCGCTAAACGATCAGCCTAAAAGTGCACTGACCAGGGACACCTTCATGACTTGTTGCCAACAAAACGGCAAATGTAATCTATGCCGCACAGTTGTGAGCATACTTTTCGCTTAACCAGAAGCATCCACGCCAAATTCAAGTGTTATAGCAGTACAAATTTACAGAATAGGATAATTTTTCAAAAAGTCTCCATGCATACTTGGTCCATTTTCGCATAGGTGCATCATTCATGAAAAATTGGCCAGATAGGAGTATTTTTGACATCCTCCTGTCCCGAAAAATAATAATTTAATCAAATATTTTTTTAGGTAAAGAGAGTGTTACAGCGAAGCTTAATCTTTTCAGCAAAAATTTGAGAAGGTCTCAGTTTGTTCTTGGTCATTGAATTTTCTTGCCTCTTGATCACAAGATCCTAATCTGAATGCTATTATTACAGAAAACAGAATGTCACCGACATGACAGCAGCTTCCAATAAAGTTAATGATATGAGTCACACAAAAAGGCCCATAACGTGTAAGCGTCAAACTCGCCCTTTAGATAGTCAAGGATTCCTACAAAACTAGCGTACAATCAACTGATTGTTTACCCTATTGGTCTGTTCCCGTTGACCAATCAGAACTATGCTGTTGCACCCACCGACTAGCCAGTGCGTTATTGTGAGCGAGACGGTGGGCGCGTTCACGTCTCCCATTGAATGAAAACTCGGAACACCTAAGCGCGTGTACCTTTTCGTCTGCCTTTGTTATTCCAACTGCTCTGACCATGTCACTTCCGATGAAACCATCAGCCAGCAAATCAGACAAGCTCACACGCCAGTCCAATGTCATAAATGGAGGCGCACATTCACAGAGTAAATTGACAACACCAGATTCACCAGTCAGCTCACTGACTCCGTGTAGTCCCCTCCTCTTGCATATGGAGCTCCCCAAACCCATTTCACGTTTACCGGAAATACGATTAGAGGGCGGTTCGGGTAGAGGTGCAAGTAAAGCTCAGACGCGACAAGTGATTCAGCAGAAATCGTGCGAATCATACGACTCAGCAGCCAGTGGAATGAGTTGGAGTAGCTCCCAGAGTACTAATGCTACCTGGGGAAATCACTGTAATTCAGGCTCAGTTTGTGGAGGATATTTGTCTTTCGCCCGCCACAGTGAGGAGGAAAACCCCCAGGGTTATCAGCACCAGAAGTCTGTCGCGGTATCCCCTACTGGTTTTAGCTCTGATGAGGAACACAAACTTTGTGAAGCGTCATCTGAGGATCTCAGTCAGAGCAAGAATAGTGAGGAGGCGGATGAACGTTCTCGATCTCCATTGGGTCAAACCGGTGATTTCTACGATTCTGTGTTTGATGACCAAGAAAAAGTGGTAATATAAGAATTTAATGCGATATATACATCCATATATTTAATGTCTGCATATATCAAAGTGTTTAAGCAAAGTTGTACACTAAATTATTTAATTGGATGTTTTTAAAATCAATGATAGTTCCATTGAGCCACACACTCGAACTTTATCTCAGGTGGTGCATTTTAAAAAATTCGTATAAATAGAACAACATTTATCAGATAATTAAAGGCTAGAATGTAATTCGCCCATTTTTTTTAACAAACCTCATTAAAACCAATTTATTCGAATGTTTTTTTTAATACTTAAACTAAGACCACGCACCAAAAATAAATGCGTTTCTAAGTTGACGCATCGTTCCGAGAAAACTGTATTTTATTAAAAAAAGGTAGCCAAAAACTGCGACAACGCTTCTTGATCTATGAAAACACAAAAGTTTTTTTAATGGGAGACTGAATAAGCAACATATGTCATTGGGAAGCAGTGCCTTAGCCGGATGGATAAAATTGATCATATACTTTCGTATTACAACAAATATGAAAATCGGGCCAACATTGGGAATAACGCATCCTTAAAACCCTCAGTGGCATTGATGTTATCATGTTGAAGAATAAAAAGTGACTTTAAATACTAAAAGGTTGAATTACGATTTGATTTTGGAAAGGCAAATTTCATGTGTTTAGAAAAGGGATTTTTGTTTGCTTACTGCTTAGTTCAAATTATTAGTGGCATTATCCTTAAAAATCGTTTGAAGTTCATCTTTTGCTTATCAAGAAGTAAATAAGCAATTATGTGGAAATCGAAATAGTAAAATCTTTCTGACGTTATTAAAGACCATGTACTGAATATAACAGAAGCCAAAATGTGGAGGCGTGAGTGTCTGGCAAATAGCGATTTGAAATCAGAGCTCAATAAATAAACCGCCATCAGCGTTGCATCTAGATTTCTGTGTAAAATTCTGGAGTAAGATAGGAAAACGAGTTGGTACCAGACAGAATACGAATTTAAAACAACAGATAGAAATGTAAAAGGAAGTATAATGGTACGTTATATATGCACCGGCTCAAAGATTTGCGTGCTAACATTGGTAATGCGTACAATGTTGAAAATAGAGACCAAAAAGTGACACTAATGCGACGGGGTTACTTAAAAACATGGTCGGGTAAAGTTTCGACAAACCTAAAAGTTAATTTAAAAGATAGAATATAATTTTTTTGTCTCTTTGTCCCTGCTTCAACTTGAACAAATAAAAAATGATGCAACAGTAACTGTTAGATGTTTTTGCAGATAGTTCCAAGGATTACTGATAAAACCTGTTGAAAAACGCTGTAGTTGTTTTGTGGTAATTTTTTTGGTGTGTGACTTGATTTTTACAGATTTGATCTTCGAGCTTAAAATTTTATTTAGGGTAGAGATATTTTCATGGTTATTTATGGTTTTGGAAGAATCGGATGCAAGGTTTCAGGACACCAAACGATACGTCTACGTGAGTTACGTAACATCTCTGAATGACAGAGTTTATGAAGATAAATGATGAACAGCGCATTTGGCACTGCATTTAGTGCAAAGTCCGAAAAGGACAAATGCTTCTAAGGCTCGAGAATTAATTTGTAGTGTACTTGGTGTCAACTTTGTGTCTAATGAAAAGTGTAATTACTGGTAGAAACCTTTTAGAAGAGGTGATTTCAGTGTTAGTGGCCATCTGCGCCCTGGACAGCAGCCTTGAAATTTAGAAGATGCGGAATTGCAAGATTTACTGGATGAAGGCTCAGCGAAAACGCAGCAAGAGCTTGCAGCTTAATTTGGAGTCACCCAAACAGCTTTTGCACCAAGCGTTTGCATCAAATTGAAAAAAATTCAAAAATTTGGAAAGTGGGTTCCACATGTGTATTTTACGAGACTCTCAAACGTAAAAAGTCGTGGGTAGATCCCGGGCAACCTAGTACATCAACGCCGAGGCAGGACATCCACCTAAAGAAGGCTCTCCTGTGTATCAGGTAGGACATCAAGGGTGTACTTTAGTGCAAACTCCTGGAAACTGGTTTCCAGACGGTAACTGTGGAACGCCAAGGCCGAAAATAGAACAAACTGATCAAAGAACGCGATCTGAAAAGCCCAATTAATGAGCAAGGAAGCAGGCAAGTCATACTGCTGCATGAGATCACGTGACTCGGACAGCTAAGAAAACCCTCCTGAATCTGTGTTGAGAATTTCTCCACACGCGACATATTCACCAGACTTTGACGTATCCGGGTCAATGCAGCAGCACGCCTTAGTGGATAAGAGGTTCAAGACGCTGGATGATGTGCATAAACTCGTCGATGGTGACTAATGCCTCGAAGCCTGCAAGTTCCCTTCGCGAAAGCATTCGTACGTTACCTGAGAGATGGCGCAAGGTCATAGTAAACAATGAACAATATTTCCAAGATTAAAGTCCTTGTTCTCTTTTTAATTTTAAATAAATTCGCTAAAAAATCTGTAAAAATGAAGTCATGTACATAAACTAAGAGCGTCAATTGTAGCAATACAGCTTAATGAAACAAAAAATATATGTTGACATTCCAAACGATCTTCCAGAATTTAGTCTCATTAAAAATTTTTTGCATCAGCTGTAATGTAAAGTGAATGAATCAAAGGTCAAATAAGGTTTAAAGGGTGTTCTTAGCTAGTTTTTTTCTGAACTAATGTTGTCTTAAGTACTATTTAATTAATTAGTGTGTCGCAAATAAATAGTGTTATTTATTGTGATGCAATGTAGTTTATCCACATTAGTTAATACAAGAGATGGTATTTGCAATGCAGCTATTGATAACAGTAGCATCAAAATATATTTAAAAATTCTTTATGAACTTTGCAAAATTTGTCCACCCAAAAGGTATTTATTTCTGTGGGTAAAAGTTTCATCCGGAATTTTTGTACTCAATCTGTTTTTAGAATATAAACGCACAAAGCGTATTTTTTTGTAACGAACGATACCACCAATGACTTTTTATTTACTTAACTTTAAGCTCCTGCTTATACTGTACAAATTACAATATCCCAGTATCAGTGTTAAGAGCTTTTTGCAAAGTTAGCTTAAATTGCATTCTGCCAGGAAACAAGTTTTATTAAGTCTATATAGCTCTCCAGTTTCTGATTATTTTAAATCATCCATTTGTACTATTACCTAACTAAGTAATTTAGTTGTTTTTGGTATTGACAAAACCAAACTTTGATTTATCAAGTCACAAACGCAGAATTTGCATGCTTTATACCTAAAACACTGGCTTTGGGAGATTCAATTCACCAAACATTGGCAATTTTAAGTATTATTTTAGAAAAAATACTGGAGTTAATTAAACAGCTAACAATCGTTTCAAAAATTTTGTACGTTAGCAACATTTTGAGTTAAAATGTTAGTATGGGGTCAAATTGCTTACACCGGGTACATACTCAGGCAATTTGACCAATTTTCAAAAACATTTTGCCAGTAACGCAACGCTACACATCCGCGTTTATAAGTGGATAATAAAGTTAAATTATTGTACTATTATGGTCATGGCTGCACTTGCTCGCATCACTGAATCGAGTGAACGGAAACACGATAAGTCATAAAATGTGCAAATGTCTTTTGAGTAAACTGGTTCAAACGTGCGACGTTCTGTTATATGTATCGTGCACGCTAATGTGCAGGAATATTTTTTCCACTAGAAAAATACGGGAATGCGCACAGTAATTGAATTTTAAATTTTACAAGTACAAATCAATAGAAGAAACGGCTAGCCTGTTATTCCTTATTTAAACTCTGCTGTTTGCCGGAAAACATCTAAGTAGGTTTTGAATATTAGCTCAGAAGACCCTCCTGAGCTTGTGTTGAGAAGTTCTCCACACACTCGACATATTCACCAGACTGAGATATCCGGCTGGCATTTGTTTGGGTCAATGTCAAACGGTTCAATCTTTGCAAAAGTTGGGTGAGATAATCACTAGGTGAAATCACTATTCTATTATTAAAGAACAGTGCTCAAATAAACAGCGAATCTCACGTTACTTTAAACTTTGACTGTGTAGTTTAGTCGCTTTCAACCACAAAGTAAAGCCACCGCTTTTGAGAAGGGCTTAGGAAGGATCATATGGACATACAGTATATAATTTATTGCATTCCGCTTTCAGACAAGCATCGATAAAAAGGACCAGGTATTTTTAGTAACCGAAAAATTGCAAAACCCTTTCATGTTTTCAGAAGGTTTGCAAAAATGTGATGGTCATTGTTAAAAACGGCTTTTACGTTCTCTCTGTTGATCACGTGACTTCGATCAAACCTAACAAAATGTTTTTACGGTTTATTTAAAAGCCGATAGTTGCTCTTGGTTTTTCAGAACTTCTAAGTAATCTAAATAAACTCTTTAAATCTTGGAAAAGCACAAGGCTAGATAAGGTTTTTGTGGATTCTTTAATAAAAATTCCCGGGCTTTATTAAACATTTTCGAGCCACGCAACATTTCGTAATTAATCGGCTTCCTTTTTTGTCAAAGGGCCGTCTTGAAATTTCCTTGATTAATTTGATCTCGTCCCATGTCAGGTCCAGCAGGCTTCCTGTCTAATCTCCTATCCTTTCTATCTCTATTCGTCTGCACTTTCTTCAATTTATGGCTGCATGCACTTGTGCTATTTTCAGTAACCTTTAGTGATTTTTGTTTCCTGGCACATCGAACTTGGTAATAGCACCAACATATATTCGTTCTTGCCCAGCTTCATTGGACGTACATTTGCATAACCAGCGTTAATAGGAAATTTTCCGATTGTGCTGATTTTTCGTTTTAGTATTAATTTTAGATAAAGCTCCCTTAAATTCTTGAAGAGAAACTTTGCGAACTGCCAAAATTTACTGCAGGAACCTATTTTATTAATCATGAGGAATCACTGTTTTTCATATTATGAAAATATCTTTGTTAACATTTACTCTATTTCTTCACAACATGCACATAGGCACGCCATTTGGCTTCGCATGACAAGACCTTAGTTAGCGCACAAAAATATTTTATTCATGG